CGCGCTCTTGCTAGGGATGGCTCGCACCTCCAGCCACTTGCTCACATGTTCCACCATGAACACTATGTACTGATTCCCGCTCCTGCTTAGCGGCAGCTCTCCCGCGAGGTCTAGGGACCATCGGAACCCCAGCCCGCAGATCGGCAGTGAGTGCAGCTCTGATTTGGCCTGCGTCAGGTTTGCTTTGCTCCTCTGACATGCCTCACACCCCTCCACCCACTCCTTCACTTGCCTGCGCATCCCTTCCCACCACCAACCCGTCTTCAGCAGGTGCACGGTCCTCTCGTGCCCGAAGTGTCCCAGCTTAGTGTGCACTTCCTTGATCACTGCTTCACGGTCCTCGGGCGCAGGCACCAGCTTCCAGCCATCCTCCATCTTGATCTGCAGCTGCTGCTGATACCACCTGTAGTGGTGCCCTCGTGCCCTCACCCTTTCTGACACCGTCTCATCCTCTTCGGTTTCTCCCTTCACCCATTCCATTGCCTTCGCATCCTGCCAGATGTCAGCTGGCCCCTTGCTCCCTTTTGCACCGACCTGCTCCACCTCTCTTGCCAGCAAGATCAAGGTGTGTGCTGGCTCCGGCTCTGTTTCCTCCGTCCCCTGTGCTACCTGTTCTGCTTCCAGCGGCGGCGGGTTGCGGGAGAGACCATCAACGTGCTGTAGCGTCTTCCCCGGCCTGTGCTTGATCTTGAAATCATATTCCTGCAACTTCACTGCCCACCTCGCGTTCCTCCCTGTCAGCCCTGGTGTAGTCATCAGCCATGTGAGGGGCTGATGATCAGTGACTAGGGTGAATTCTCTGCCCTGCAGGTATATCCGGAAATGCCCGACCGCCCACACTGCCGCCAGCCCCTCCCCGATGTATGAGCTGTACTGTGCCTCCGCTGGGTTGCAGCTCCTGCTGGCGTAGGCCACCACCTTCTCCACTCCCTCCACCTCCTGGCATAGTATTGCCCCCATCCCTTGGCTACTCCAGTCGGTGTACAAGATGAAGGGCTGATCTGCTGCTGGCAGCCGCAGCACTGTTGCTGTCTTCACGGCTGTCATGAGGTCTTGCAGCGCCTCTCTCTGCTTTTCTCCCCACTCCCATGCCTTGTCTTCGCGCAGCATCCCGTTCAGCACCGTCGCTCGCTTACTGAAGTTCGGCACGAAGCGCCTGTAGTAGCCGAGGAAGCCCAAGACCGCACGCAGTCCTAATTTGTCTCTCGGTTCCCTTAGCCTGTCCAGCACTTGCACCTTTGCTTGCTGGATCCCAATCTGCCCCCCTGTGACCTCATACCCCAGGTACTGTACTGTCCGCTCCCCCCACTTGCACTTGTTGGGATGGCACGTGAGCCCTGCTCCTTCTATGGCCGTCAGTGTTTTCTCCACATCCTCCAGGTGCTGCTGCTCGGTCAGACTGAAGATCACGACATCATCAATGTAGCACGCCGCGTGTTCTATTCCCCGCAGCACCGCGTCCATAACTCTCTGGAACACTGCCGAGGCGTTCCTCAGGCCGAAGGGCATGTACAGCCACTCGTACAGCCCATCCGGTCCGTGGAAGGCCGTTTTCTTCACGTCCTCCTCTCTTATCTTGATTTGATTGAACCCCTGTCGCAGGTCCAGCGTTTTGAAAAACACCCCGTCCGCCAACTTGTCAAAGAGCTCTTCTGCCATCGGCATGGGGTATCTATCTGGCACTGTGATCTTGTTAAGATCCCTGTAATCTCCGCACATCCTCCTACTCAGCACCTCGCCTTTCAAGTCCTTCCGGGCTGCCACCACGGTTGGGGTGGCGTACTCGGACTCTGACCTCCTAATCAGCCCGGCTTCCAGTAACTCCTTTATCTTCTCCCTGCAGATCAATTCATCCCCTGGTGGCATCTTCCTCCTGCGGTGGAACACCGGTTCGTCACTATTCAGCTTCAGCGCCATCTCTTTGATCTTACACTTCCCCAACTCCAGCAGAGTGAAGGCAAAGCCCTTCCTATGCTTGGCCAGTAGTGCCCGCATAGCTGCCCTCCCTTCCTCGCTCATGCTCTCACCTATCTTCCACTCTGGCTCCTGTTTCTGCAAGCAGGCCCATACCCCTTGCCTCACCGTCGCCACCGTGTTTTCTCCCTCCTTCAGTCCCCAGTGCAGCACTGTCTCTCTCCACATCCGCTGCACCAACCACCTCATCATGTACCCATCCATTGCATTCCCCATTGCCCGCCTCCGTTCCTGTTTAGTCACGCCAGGGGCTGCTGTAGCGTTCTCCTTGTACCCCATGGCCAGCTCCCTCTCCAAGGCCGTGGGCTACTCCCATCGTCCCTTCCCGTGGTCGAACACTAGTCCTGGGCCTGGCTGCTTCCCGTCCATCTGATACCCTGCTGCCCCCTCATATGACACTAGCGTAGGTAGTGCTTGCCTCTCCTGCCCCACCTGATTGCATGGATAGTGTCAGCTGTAGCTCCTCTTATTCACTGGTGCTGGTGTTCGCCCAGGCTCCAGTATATCGCTCAGCTTCCGCCCCTCTGCTCTCTGCACCCCCTCTATCTCCTTCTGCAGGTCTTCCCTTGGCACCACATTCTGCCAGTACATCCTGAGCCTGTGTGCATAGGCTCCCATCCGCGTTGCGTCACTGCTCACTCCCTTCCCCACCTGTCTGGTCACTCGCTCCCTTACCAGTCGTATTGGCTCTCGCACATCTCCTTCCATGTCTAGGTGCTCCAGCAGGTAGGCCACTCTGCCTTGTCTAGCCTGCATCCACTCCATGACTCTGAACAGATCCTCCATCAGTTGTGTCCGTAGGTCTTGCTCACCCTTGCCCTTCCCTGCCCATGATACCCCTTGGCATTCCCACCCAGCCACCAGCAGGTCCACGTGCCCCCAGCTTGCCACCTCAGCCTCCGTGATGGCCCTCACATCATTCACTCCTCTGCTCATTGCTGCCTTGATCACTTCTCCCTTCAGCAGTTCCGGGAACTCTCTATGCAACTGCCATGCATGATGCTCCGCCATTTTCCTTGCTTCTGCTGCCTTCTCTACGTAAATCCACTGCTTCACTGCAATCCCGTTCTGCACCACTGCTGCCAGTCCCGCCCCTATACCTCCGAACAGTTCCACCAGCCGGATAGGTTGCTGCCAATCAGTCTGTTGGCTAGGCTCGTCCATGAAGCGCATCCTGGGCTCTCTACCCTGTCCCCTGTCTGTCATGCTCTCCTGTGCCCCCTGTTTCGCTGTCATCTCCCTCAGATCTGCCCTATAGGCCCTTTTTGGCTCTGTCCTGACAAACTGCACAGGCAGTTGTCCCAGTGGCTCACCCTTCCTCCACCACCTGGTTCTGAATTCCACCGTCTCCTTCCAGAAGCAGATGGTCATACCTAGTGCAAAAATCATCTCCGTGCCCACCAGGACGTCAAAATCTTCAGATTCTGAGATCCCACACCTGATCCTAACCGGCGTTTCGTGTTTCTCCCCCTTTAGCACCGTCAGTTCTATTGGAGTCCTTGTACACGGCATCCACTTTGACTCTCCTCCCTCTACTGTCATCACTAGCATCCCCTTCACTACATGCCTGTCCGGTGCCCACAGTCCCAGCTTCTCGGCCATCCCCTTCCCTAGTATCACGCTTTGTGCGCCAGTGTCTATAATAGCCGTCTTAGCCTTCTCCCCTTCCACAGACAACGCGCCACCTTGGATCAGCAGCACGGAAGTCTGGCACGCCAGCCGCTCCTGAGGATGCCGTGCCGCTGTACATCTCTCTTCCCTCTCTCCCGGTTTCTGTCCTTTCTCTCGTTCCTTCCTCACCTGCTCCTTCCGTGCATCCTTTCCTCCGCTGCGCAGCCCCATCTCCTCCCTTCCTCTCCATGCTAAGTATGCTGGCTGCTCCTCGTGTTCCACCTCATCCTCTGCTCTTCCTGCCCAGCTCATGAACGCGGCTTCCTCATCCTGCTCTACATCTTCCTCCTTTTCTTTCTTAGCGTACATCCCCGCTTCTGCTTCGCGTCGAGGTCCCATTGCCTGCAGCTGAGCCTGTAGCTTGCTAATCTGCCTTTCCAGGTCTTCTGGTGTCCTTTTAGCCGCTCCCTCTCGTTGGTAACACTCTTTCGCTGCATGCCCTCCCTTCCCACAGGTTTCACACTTCGGCGCTGTTGGGCACTCCCGTCGCCGATGCCCTGGCATGCCACAAGAGTCACAGTTCTTGCAGTCTCTGCGTAAGTGTCCTGGCTGCCCGCACCTGTGGCACGTTCGAGTGTCAGGCCTGGTCTCCCCTCTTCCTGCAGCTTTGTCCCTCTCTTCCGGTATCATGGCTGCAGCCCACGTTGGTCCCCTGCCTCGTTCTGCCACTCGAGGCCTGTATGCCTCGTACTTCCTCTGTGCCAGCTCCATCTTTTCTGCCATCTCAAACACCTCCTCTAGTGTCGTGTCCGCCCCCATCTCGTACACTTTCATCCGCAGCCCGCTCCCTAAAGTGCCCTCCAGCCCGTCCAGGAACTTGCTCACGAGCAAGCCCATGTCTGCGCAACTCACATCCTCCGCCAGGTTGACCAGCCGATTGTAGTAGGTGAGTAGTGACTCGCCCCGCCCCTTCCTGAAATCTTGGAACTCTCTAATCTTCTCTGCAGTATGGCCTGGGAACTGCCGCTTCAGGCGCCTCAGGAATTCTTCCGTTGGATCCTCCCCATACCTTCCTGCCCTCCTCAGTAGCTCATCCATCTTCATCCTATACAATGTCTCTGCCTCCCCTTCCAGTGTGTTGGGCAGGCTCAGAAAGAAGTCCACTGCATCCATGCCGCTCCTCTCGCATCTGTACCGCACATTGCCCACTTGCATGAGATAATTCTTCAGCGTGGGCCCCAAGCGCTGGTCCCCAGAGAAGCGTGCTGGCACTTCCACTCTTGTGACCATAGCCGTGCTTCCCCTTCCTTCTCCCCAGGCCTCACTCAACCCGCCTGCTATTCTGCCAGATGTTCCCCTCTCTCTCGCCCGCAGTATCCCCTCCCTTGCCTCTCTGGCCCGCTCCAGGCTGTGCATCAGCCCGCTGCCTCCCCCTCTGCTGCTGCGTTGATCCTGTCCTCCTTCTTCGGCATGTCTTTCGTCACACTGCCTGTATCGCCCAGGCGAGCGAGACCCACCGCCCTGCCTTCCATCCCTGCTTCGCTGCCGCGGCGGCGAGCGATATCTGTCTCCTCGGCTCTCCTCGTGTCGCTGACGCCAATCCGTCGAGCGCGCCTCGCCTCCCCACCTCCCTCCATGATACCGTTGCGTGTCAGGCGAGCGATACCCATCTCCGCGTCCCCCATCATGATAGTGATGCGGATCTGGTGAGCGCGAGTCCCCTTCGCTCCTCCTGCCGTGATACCTCCGCGGATCTGGCGAGTGCGCACTACCTCCGCGTTCTCCGTCACGGCGCTGCCGCGGAACTGGCGAGCGGTAACCGCCTCCGCGCCTCTCGTCATGCGGCGGCCGCGGATCAGGCGAGCGATAGCCGCCTTCGCGCCTCTCGTCACGCTGCAGCCGCAGATCTGGCGAGCGCGCGCCGCCAGCGTGCCTCCCATCGCGATGCCGTCGCTGGCCTGGTGAGCGCGCGCCGTCGCCGCGCCCCACGTCACGGTGCTGCTGCAGATCGGACACGCACACCTCGCCTCCGCGTTTCTCGTCACGGTGCTGACGCGGATTCGGCGAGCGCGAGCCACTGCTACGCCTCCCGCCGTCCTTCTTCTCTTCGCCACGCGCCTGGTTCCGACCACCATTCTTCCCATCCGCTTTCGCTGCGCTTGGCTCTGCCGCCACGCCCGCCTGCGTCGGATCGGCCTCCTTGACTCCAGTGGGCATATCGCGCTGCCCGCCTGCGCCTTCCTCCTGGGCTTCGTCATCGCCCTTTGCCTCGCCTTCGGGATCCGTCTCCTGCGCCTTATTCGCCGTGTCGGCCTCGTCCTCTCCGTCAACATCGAGGTCTCCCTGGCGACCAGAGAATAATTCCTCCAGGCCACGCCCGCGACTCCGCTCTTCGCGAAGGCGGTAACCTTCGTCCGGCGAGCGATACGCTCCCGTGTCCTGGCGATATCCACGATCGCCACCAGCTCCGTGGCGCGCGTCCGTCCGCCACGGGTCACTTCCCATCCTGACGGACTCGGATCCGCCTCTTCCTTCTCGCTCTGCACCTTCTCCTCGGCGATCTGGTGCGAGAGGGACCAGATCTGCGCGGAAGGCTGGCCTCCGCGGCGAGCGCTCAGGCCTCCGCGGTGACCTCTCCAACGAACGCCCGCGCTCACGTGAGCGTTCGCGCCGCGAGCGATCATCCTCACGACGCCCATAGTTCCTGCCATATCGCAGCTCGTACACATCCATGCTTGCACGCACACCCTTTCCGTTTGGTATGAAAGCGACGTAACTCTCACCTCAAGGGTCCTCCCTGAGTGGTGTGCCACCTGTATGCAAAGCTGAGGTAACAACAGTCCACTATATGAAAGGATACCAAACGGAAAGCATCAAAGCTGTGTGAGAGAGTGACTTTACCTGACTTGGGCTCGAGCCGTGCATTTCTCAATGTGCGGCTCGAGCCTGGGTTGGTTTAATCACATTGGTCGCGTGGATTTCCCCCTTGGTGCTTTCCTAACAACCTCGCGTCAACTTCCCTGGTTCCCCACCTACCTACCCTCGAATATGCACACACAACATTGCTACACCCAAACCACACCAGAACTACACCTCGATCTAACTGGCACCGTATATGCACAACCGTGCATATTCGGTGACATGGTGCGTAGCCCAGCTTCATGAATTTCCGTTTGGGCCACGAGATTGTGGCGGAGTGAAGGCACGCACATTCCAGTGACAGTGCCGGAAGGGAAGGCAGGGCACGGGACTGTGGATGAACCCTTGGCATGAGTGGTGAAGCTTGAGTCAGCTCCTAGGAGAGGGGTTGGTGTTACGTAGGGTTTGAAGGAGAGTGTCTCCTTGAGTACAGTGTGTGTGGCGCCGCTACCGAGTGTGAACTCTATGTATTGTGGTGCTTGTGATGAGCCGAGGTACTGGGAGGAAGCTTCATTAATCATGGCAGTGCTAGGAAACAATAGGTTGATACGCACATCAGCAGGAGCACTATCACTAGCACTAGCCGAAGCGGGGTCCGGGACCTCAACTAGGTTGGCCTTACGAGGGCGCATCTAGTTTGGCAGCTTCTTGTCCACTCCGTGAATGGCATACCATTCGTCGTGTTTCTTCTTGAAGCACGTAGCAAAAGGGTGGTTAGTGCCACCACACACTTGTCCCTTGCGGTTGCGATACTTGACGACATAGGTGCACGGAGGGAAGCGGTTGCGCTGGAAGGGCGCCGAGGCAAGGGCCGATGCGACACTTGCTTGCAGCATGGGAGCGCGGATGGCGTAAGCCCTGGCCTGAGCCGTGGAATCTTTCTCAGCAGAGAGGAGTGCGGATGAGACCTTGGCAAATGTGAGGTCTTCCGCTGAGAGCGTGAGGAGCATCTTCCTCGTTACTTCATATGCTGAGGTGAGACCAACAAGAAGGGCGGCTGCAGGGGCTTGTTCGGGGAAGACTATGCCCAGCTCCTTCAGTTCGCCATGAATTGTCTGCACCTTGGCGATGTAGTCAGCCATTCCCGAGCAATCCTCAAGGCGGACCTGGAACATGCTGGGGATGAGGATGGCAACTCCGACTGCAGTCTTGTTCATGAACTGATCCTGGAGATACTTCCAGATGGCGTTGGAGGTAGGGTAGTTATGGAACATGTTGACAAGTTTTGGAGGGGTGGAGGCGGTGAAGACGCTGATAATAGCAGCATCGGCCTTCTCCCATTTCCGGTACTTCTCAACAGCTTCCTCGTACGCCGTCATGTCAGTATCACTAGCAGATTCGGTGGGCTCAAGGGAGGAAGGGGGCTGTTTTCCCTTGCCACTGTTGAGGAGAACGTCCTTGAGGTCCAATCCCTGCACGTCACGACTCAAGAGGTGCTTATCAACCCCATAGCTCCATGCCTTGAAGTTGGAGCTAGAGCCATCGGCTTCAAGGCGGAGTGGGGTGATGGGGTTGGCCATGGTGCACGAGACGAATGCCATGATGGAGAACCCTTAGTGTGTCGCACGGAGCGCTGCTCTTGAGTCACCAATAGGAACTTGAGAATTGGGGTTTTCGAAGGAGATTTTGAAGAACCGGAGGTTTAGGGTTTACGAAAGAGAATTTTGAGGTTTAGGGTTTCTGAATGAGAATTTGACTGAAACGCCAATTTAGTGTCAACTACCTACTAATCCTATTCCCACACACCCCCCCACACACCACCCTCAGCTTCGCGGCTACGCTGCTGCTTGGCTTCGCGGCTACACGGCTGCTCGGCGTCGCGGCTACGCTGCTGCTCGGCTGCGTAGTTGCGGGAAAGAGCGGGGGGGGGATGGGGGTAGGAGTGCAGATGCAGAGCGACGGGCGGCAGCCCGAAGGTGAAGCTGCAGGGCGACGGGCGGCGGCCCGACGAGAAGCTGCGGGGCGACGGGCGACGGCCCGACGAGAAGCTGTGGGGCGACGGGCGACGGCCCGACGAGAAGCTGCGGGGCGACGGGCGACGGCCCGACGAGAAGCTGCAGGGCGACGGGCGACGGCCCGACGAGAAGCTGTAGGGCGACGGGCGATGGCCCGACGAGGAGAGGGAATGACGCGATGATGTTCGACGAAAACGAGCGATAGGCTAAAGCGCCGACGATGCTCTTACCAGAGAAATAGTAGATGCCGTCGAAAGTGATGGGAAAGTGGTGCGAGAGAATTTCCGCCCACGAATGTCGCGAATCAACGGCTACGAGATGGAAGGCGGTTACGCCGAGGTTTGCGGGACGAACATCCGCAGAGATAAGAGGATCATGATCCGCGTGTGCGGTTGAAGGGCTCTGATACCATGTCAGTACTTAGGCTTAGAAGCGATGCATTAGTAATGAGCTTGAAGCTCTTTAAGTACATCCAAGAAGGGGAGGGAATGGATGGGGAAGGGAATCGGGGGCAATCCCTAGGGATTGGGGGTAATTCCAAGGCAATCTCCAATTGGTGGGTTGGAGATAGCTTGGAGATTACATTTGGGTTTGGTTGGGATGTAGGTGTACACCCAACCAAACACAATGTGCAAATTACACTACTCTAGGATATAGAAAATTCAAAGTACAAAGTGTGAGATTGAAGGCTAACACTAACAGCCGAATCATGCCTGGCTGAATTATTCCTGGCAGAATCATGCATGCATGAATCTGCATACATGAATCATGCCTGCTGAATCATGCCTGGCAGAATCATGCCGGCCTAGCTGAATTCTGCCTGGCAGAATCAAGCATGCATGAATCATGCCAGGCTGAATTATGCCCGGCTGAATCTTGTCTGGCTATATCATGCCTGGCTGAATCATGCCTGGTTGAATCATGCCTGGCTGAATCATACATGGCTGAATCACGCCAGGTTGAATCATGACTAGCTGAATCATGCCTGGCTGAATCATGCCAGGCTGAATCATGCCTGTCTGGATCTTGCCTGACTGAATAATGCCTTGCCGAATCATGCCTGGCTGAATCATGCCTGGCTGAATCATGCCTGGCTGAATCATGCCTGGCTGAATCATGCCTGTCTGAATCATGCCTGACTGAATCATGCCTGGCTGAATCATGCCTGGCTGAATCATGCCTGGCTGAATCATGCCTGGATGAATCATGCCTGGCTGAATCATGCCTGGCTGAATCATGCCTGGCTGAATCTTGCCTGGCTGAATCATGCCTGGCTGAATCATGCCTGGCTGAATTATGCCTGGTTGAATCATGCCTGGCTGGATTTTGCCTGGCTGATTCATGCCTGGCTGAATCTTTCCTGGCTGAATCATGCCTACCTGAATCATGCCTTACGGAATCATGCCTAGCTAAATCATGCCTGGCTGAATCATTCATGGTTGAATCATGCCTGGCTGAATCATGCCTGGCTGAATCATGCCTGGCTGAATTATGTCTGACTGAATCTTGCCTGGTTAAATCATGCATGGCTGAATCATGCCTGGTTGAATCATGCTTGGCTAAATCATGCCTGGCTGAATCATTCATGGTTGAATCATGCCTGGCTGAATCATGCCTGGCTGAATCATGCCTGGCTGAATCATGCCTGGCTGAATTATGTCTGACTGAATCTTGCCTGGTTAAATCATGCCTGGCTGAATCATGCCTGGTTGAATCATGCTTGGCTGAATCATGCCTGGCTGAATCATGCCTGGCTGAATCATTCCTGGCTGAATCTTGCCTGGCTGAATCATCCCCGGCTGAATCATGCCTGGCTATATCATGCCTGGCTGAATCATGCCAGGCTGAACCATGCATGGCTGAATCATGCCCGGCTGGATCATGACTAGCTGAATCATGCCTGGCTATATCATGCCTGGCTGAATCATGCCTGGCTGAATCATGCCTGGCTGAATCATGCCTGGCTGAATCATGCCTGGCTGAATCATGCTTGGCTGTATCATGCCTGGCTGTATCATGCCTGCCTGAATCATGCCTGGCCGAATCATGCATGGTTGAATCATGCCTGGCTGAATCATGCCTGGCTGAATCATGCCTGGCTGAATTATGTCTGGCTGAATCTTGCCTGGCTGAATCATGCCTGCCTAGCTGAATTCTGCCTGGCATAATCAAGCATGCATGAATCATGCCAGGCTGAATTATGCCCGGCTGAATCTTGTCTGGCTATATCATGCCTGGCTGAATCATACCTGGTTGAATCATACCTGGCTGAATTATTCCTGGCTGAATCTTGCCTGGCTGAATCATGCCCGGCTGAATCATGCCCGGCTATATCATGCCTGGCCGAATCATGCCAGGCTGAATCATACATGGCTGAATCATACATGGCTGAATCATGACTAGCTGAATCATGCCTGGCTAAATCATGCATGCCTCGCTGAATCATGCCTGGCTATATCATGCCTGGCTGAATCTTGCCTGGTTGAATCATGCCTGGCTAAATCATGCCTGGCTGAATCATGCTTGGCTGAATCATGCCTGGCTATATCATGCCTGGCTGTATCATGCCTGCCTGAATCATGCCTGGCCGTATCATGCCTGGCTGAATTATTCCTGGCAGAATCATGCATGCATGAATCTGCATCCATGAATCATGCCTGCTGAATCATGCCTGGCTGAATCATGCCTGCCTAGCTGAATTCTGCCTGGCATGATCAAGCATGCATGAATCATGCCAGGCTGAATTATGCCCGGCTGAATCTTGTCTGGCTATATCATGCCTGGCTGAATCATACCTGGTTGAATCATGCCTGGCTGAATGATGCCTGGCTGAATCATGCCTGGCCGTATCATGCCTGGCTGAATTATGCCTGGCAGAATCATGCATGCATGAATCTGCATGCATGAATCATGCCTGGCTGAATCATGCCTGCCTGATTCATGCCTGGCTAAATTATGCCTGTCTGAATCATGCCTGCCTGAATCATGCCTGCCTGATTCATGCCTGGCTAAATTATGCCTGTCTGAATCATGCCTGGCTGAATCATACCTGGCTGAATCATGCATGGCTGAATCATGCTTGGCTGTATCATGCATGGATGAATCTGCATGCATGAACCATGCCTGGCTGAATCATGCCTACCTTAATTATTCCTGGCACGGCAATATCAGGCACGGGGGAGTTCAGGCACAGGGAAATCAGCCTCAACACATTCAGCCTGAGATTGACCCAAGAATGACCCAAGACTGACCCAAGACTGACCCAAGACTGACCCAAGACTGACCCAAGACTGACCCAAGACTGACCCAAGACTGACCCAAGACTGACCCAAGACTGACCCAAGACTGACCCAAGGCTGACCCGAGAGTGACCCAACAACAGTCAGCCAGCACTGACCTTTACAGCCCACCTCCTTCTCTCTCTCTGTGCCAGGACAGGGCAACAAGGCATCCAGCAGCCTAGCCAAGCCAAGCAACCCAATACCCTCACTCAAAAGCACTTCTTAAAAACCCACCTCCTTCTCCCTCTGCTCGTCCGTGCAAATTAGCTGCGATGGTTCAACCAGCAGCCCACCTAGCTTCGCTTGCTACTGACCAGGTGACCCCATGGCTCGCCCACATACTTTTCATCGCAACTCCCTATCCCGCTGTTCGTCTTTCAAGAGGGAGACGGCCACGGGGCACCTAGCAGTCCAGCTTCGCCTGCAGCCTCTCGCGCACCTCCGGTATTGGTGATTCCGTGGCTTACCCAACTGCACGGGCATGCAAGGAAGGTGGTGAGCCAGGCAGCAAGCCAAGTGAATGGTGAGTGGATGGTGGGGCGACGTGGCTGGTGCTTCACGGAGGTTACTACAACAGCACTGCCACGAGTCACGCACCTGAGTCACCCACCTGAGTCACCCACCTGAGTCACCCACCTGAGTCACCCACCTGAGTCACCCACCTGAGTCACCCACCACCTGAGTCACCGACCTGAGTCTCCCACCTGAGTCACCCACCTGAGCCACCCACCTGACTCACCCACCTGAGCCACCCACCTGACTCACCCACCTGAGCCACCCACATGAGCCACCCACCTGACTCACCCACCTGACTCACCCACCTGAGTCACCCACCTGAGTCACCCACCTGACTATTGTTGGTGCTGCTATTGTTGGTGCTGCTGCTATGGTTGCCCATGGCATTGCCGCGCCACAATAACCCCCTTGCAGTAATCAACTGGACGGACTGGCCGTTGCATGGCATGAATCATGATACTGGGATCATGGACGATAAAGAAAGGTGTTCAACAGCTGCGACTTCAATCGGCAGAGGGCTTCCAAGACCTCCTCGCTGGCGGGCAGTTCAAGTAAGTCCGGGCATTATGAGGAAGGATAGAGCGACATGAGGAAAGTCCGGGGAGTGTGAAGAGATTTCGACTAAGATGAGATTATTCAGGGCAGTTTGGTCAGTTGGTATGAAGGATCTGGTTGTAGGTTGCTTGTTTCTAGGGTGCAAAAGTTGCATGATCAGTATTCTACCCTCTCCACCCCCCCCCCCCATGTTGCAAATCGATGGCCCTTTCATCCCATCAGCTCTGCCCTACCAACCACCAGTGCCATCACTGCCATTATCACTAACTCCCCCAGTCTCGTACTGAATGGCTCTGTGGCAGATGCAAGGTGGCTGCCATGTGGGGGAGCTTCGCACTTTAAGTCGCCTCTATCTGGTTTCCTACAAAGTGAAGCTGTGCGCAGACATCTTGGTAGGAAGAAACTGTACGAAACAGCTTTCCTGCCACCATGCACAAGATGTTGGACATGATACATTTCTCCATCTGGCAAGGATAGATGCTTGCGCTGTAACATCTGATACTGGAAGATTGGCCTGTGTTGTCAGGTTTGTTACCGCCCAGCTTTCCTGACAACACTCTTTCATGGGTCTTGCTGGCCTTCTTGTCATGGATGTTGTTGCTGCAGGAAAAGTGCTGCTGAATAGTTCGCTTCTTTCTCACAATCCAAAGAGAGCATATTGTCCGTTCGTTTGGAAGATCATTATGGCTTCAATACCTTCACTCAAGTACAGACTGGTGGCTTAGATCTGTTAATAGAATGCTGGTGGCTCATTTCTGTGGTAAGCAATGGAGGTGAGGTGAGGGGGACCACCAGGGTAGCAGAGAATCGAATCATGGCGGATTTATTCGCTGAGACAATTGCCAGCTGGCACAACTCCTGAGAAACGGCATGCGTATTGCATCTGTCACTTGGAGCCAGCGCTTGGAATTGTCTAGAGAGCGAAGGCAAACAAGAACCTGCACAGGAAACAGGACTCGCCTCATTACATCCTAACACCAGATTCAGATACCCTAGATGATCATGTCTCAAGAAATAATTAAAGCAAATCTCATGTCCGATCTGATTCAAGTGTCGGCCTCTGTTGAAGTGGCACTGCGCTGAACGGCAGTCAACTCCGTGCTCTCGCACTTTCGCTCCACAGTAGCATGTTACGCAAGACCCGGAAATTTCAGACACCTGCTCGTGGGTAGGTATGCATCCTTAGACCTGTGCAGAGCAAGTGAGGTTAAGGGTGAAGTGCAAGAAGCGGGAACGGTTGAGTAAGAAAAAGTTGGGAAATATCAGAAGGAACGAGAGTGAGGAATGAAAGTCATTGTGGAGTTCTCTTCCTCAAACAAAGATGAGCAGGACATATACGGTAGTATGGCCATCCGCCAGCTACTGCTGCACAAGGTGACCGGCAGCATCCACAGCAAACCACACCCCACATACATGCAAAGAGAGGGCTTTCACACACCCTCGTTGCTTGCAACCATGCTGACAAATCAGATGGCAAAGGGCATGATGCCTCGTTAGGTCCGTACCTAAACACCTTGCCTTACACCCCACCGCTGACCTTGAAAACTCACCTTGCCACTCACCTAACCTACCCACCTTGTTTCCCCACCTTGTTTGCCCACCTTGCTTCCCCACCTTGCTTCCCCACCTTGCTTCCCCACCTTGCCTCCCCACCTTGTTTCCCCACCTTGCTTCCCCACCTTGCTTCCCCACCTTGCTTCCCCACCTTGCCTCCCCACCTTGTTTCCCCACCTTGCTTCCCCACCTTGCTTCCCCACCTTGCCTCCCCACCTTGCCTCCCCACCTTGCCTCCCCGCCTTGCCCACTCACCTTGCCAATCGTGGTGCCACTACTGCTGCTGGCTGCTGCCACCCTTGCTCGCATCCATCCCACTCCTCTTCCCACTGCTCCTGCCGGGGCATGCGAGCTTGTGGGAGGGCCAGTGCGCCTTTTGGCACTCTCTGCTGCAATACGCTACCTTGCCACACCCACCGCACCTCCTCAGCTTCACAGAACCACCTTCCACCCTCGCACACCCTGCAGTACCGCACACACAGCCTTGGACATCTGAAGCAGCAGCAGCAGCAGTAGCAGCACTGATGCTTATTGCAGTGGGGTTGGGAGGGGCAGTAGGACAAGAAGCCATAGCAGCAGCAGAATGGGTGGAAGCAGTAGCAGGGGCGGACATTGCAGCATGGGAGGCAGGGCGGTAGCACGGCTCCCCCAGCAGCATTTCTCGCAGACATGCCACCAGATTCACTCCACCCGGCCACGCCTTCAGATAAGCCGGCACCTTCCCCTTCCTCTTCTTCTCACTGCTGTTGCTGTTGCTGCTGCTGCTGCCCATCCACTCACAGTTGCTGCTCCCCCTGGCAGACCCACGTTGCCCTTGCAGCCCCTCACAGTACCTCAGGGTGATTGCTGCCTCAAGAATCCATGTGATGTCACACCCCTTAGCCAGTCCCTCCCGCTTCCTGCTGCCCCTGCACTCCTCACTCTCTCCCTCGCTTCCCTTGTTGAAACTCCACACAGCCATTGCTGCACAATACCACATCCGCACCTCCTCCCACACCTCTCCACCAATCTCCTGATCCACCTCACCATCCCAGAGGCCTTGCCCCCTCACCCTCCCACCTTTCCCCCTTTTCTCTACACCCTTTTTCCGCGCACCTGACTGCACTACCTGCTCGTTTCCACTGCATTGCTGCTCCAACTCATAGCTTTCCAGAAGATGACGAGCGCACCACACGGCCATGTGAATGAGGAAGTACAGAGGCACCTGCTCCGCCCGGCTGAGCAGCATCTGCAGGTTCACAGGCCTGGGCAGGCGTGCAGAGAGGTCCAGGCACTCAACCAGCTTGTGGAAGCCAGGGGAGGATGGCGGGAAGGCTGAGAGCACGCGGGAGAAAAGATGGCTGACTGGGCGGTAAGCGAAGTTGGCGATGAGAGCAGCCATGCACACAGACTGTATGAATTCTGCAGAGCAGGTGCAGCACTGGGTGCATGCCCGAGGGTGCATGATATACCCGGCAAACCCCACCAGGAAGTCCACATCTGCCAGGCAGCGAACGATGGGAAGCTTCCTCCTGGCGGGTGGTAGTATTACTCTCTGCTCATCATTTCGAGATGCTTCACCTCTCCCACGTGCTCTGCTCTGTTCGGCTTCCACACCAGCTCCTTGGCGTACTGCCTTACACCCTTTCCCTCTTGCACGCCTGCACCTCCCTTCTGCTTCAGGTATGTGCTGACGAGGGTCCTGGGTCAGCTTCTCACCTGCTTCACCACGCTCCTCCACAATCCCAAGCCCAACACACCTCTCCTTTCGGTTGACAGGAAACTTCACAGCAGCTTCGCCGCCCCCAGGCCACTCCTCCCACTCTAAAGGAACGCCGCTTCCCTCCAGAAGCTTGGGGATGGCGCCGAACCTGACCAGCAGGCTCGGAAGGACCCGAAGCGGGTGGCGCATGGGCCGGACGTTGCTCTGAGGGCAGTCCTTGAAGCACCGTTTCTCCGAGATGGAATCTGAGCCGTAGACTCGGACCCACTGCAAGATGCAACCGACCCGATAGGTGAGTGCAGCAACAACAGGGCCTCGATTGACAGGCACAAGTACAGCATCCATATCAGCGCTTGCAGCAGAAACAGCAGCAGCAGGCGGGGTTCTTCCTACATCTGCTGCTGCCACTCCATTCATCCCCCTTGTCTGCTTCAAGCCATGCTGCAGAAGCCTCTTCCTAGCCACCTGAATAGCTGCACCCTCTACCTGCACCTTGCTCACATTGTTCCCATCAAGGAAGTACAGCTTTCCATCCTTCCAGTGCTCTGGTTTCGATAAAACTAGGGTGACAGCAAGGGCGAAATCAGTCGCATTGACACCACTCACACGCATACCCCTCGGAGCACTGCTGCTCTCACTGCTGCTGCCAGAAATGCTGACGCTGCTGCTGCTACTTCTTCTGCCATTGTCACTGCCGCCACTGCCACCACTGCTGCTGCTGCTGCTGCTGCTGCTGCCCCCCTCACTGCAGTGGCTGCACCTTAACTCCCTCCCTTCCCCCCCTCCATGCTCCAGAATCCAAGCTATGCCATCCACATACCTCTCCCACACACGCCCCTTCAGATGCTCCCTCCAGCTCAAGTCCGAACTAACCCTCCCGCACTTGCCAGCAACCCTATCAATCTCTACCTTGCTCCCTGCCTCTTCCTCTCCGTGTCTCCCATCATCCTTCCCATGTGACGCCTTCCCCTCCCCATGCGTCTTCTCAGAAGCCTTCCCCTCAGCTCCCCCCTTCCGCTTCCCCTCCTTATCCACCTTCTCAGCTGTCTTTCCCCCAGCTCCCCCCCTCCTCTCTGCATGCGCCTCCTCCAGCCCGCCTGACAGCAGTTGCTGCACAAAGAACCCAAACCCCTCCTGCAGATCAGCACTCTCCTTCACCCCCAGCACCTGCACCAGCATGGACGCAAAGTTGTCACTCTCCCTCTGCCTGCTCGCCCCCAGCTCAGTGGCGATTGCTGGCCAGGCCGACGAACGCAAGACGAAGTGTGCTTGCCATAAAGTCACAAGGCGGGGGGATCTTGCTACAAGCACAAGGAATGTTGAGAAGCTGACAGCACGGCGGTAGGCAGCCCAGCAGCTGCTGCAGCGCCAGCAGCAGGACAACACTGTAGAAGCCAAAGGAGCAGGAGGAGCACCAGGAACAGCACGGGCAGCAGCAGGGGCAGCAACAGGGGCAACAACAGGGGCAGCAGGAGCAGGAGACGAGACATCAGCAGCTAGAGCAACTGTTGTAGTATCCAAAATAGCAGGCAGGCGAGATCTGATTCTCTCCAGGTCCATGAGCACACCCACACGAGGCTCAGCCATCCACTCGAGAAACATCCCTTCTGCGCAAAGGCGAGGCGCCATCTCTGCCTTCCACGCAAACTGCTCCTGAGAAAACATTTCATGATGCTGCTGCTGCGTGGGATCTGCTGCGGGGATGCAACGAGGCTGCAGATTGCGCAGGTGGAAACGCAAGTCCTCCAGGTTCTTCATGGCAAGTGCTCGCTGTGCTCGCGGACTCACTGCACGGTCAAAGCAGCACCCGCACAGATCCTCGTCCCACCCATTCATCACATCCAATCCAAGTAGTGAACCATGTCCGCACGGCACAGCTGCTGAAGCGGCTTCGGACTTTCCTCAGCTCTTGCTTTCTCTGCTGCCCCTCCGTTTGCCTGATCGGGCTGATCCGGTTCACCCTGGTCGATCTGGACTCCAGAGCAGGGTCCCCTCTGCCGCATCATAAGAGCCTTCACCCGCTCTTCCAACTTCTGCATTGTCAGCGACAGGCTTGCGTCTGTCACAGCATATTCCTCTTCCTCGTCCTCTTCCTCTTCCTCATCCCCTTCCTCTTCCACTTGCTCAACCGCTTGCTCTGCTGCGCCTCCGTTTGCCCGAGTGGACTGACCTAGTCAACCTAGCTGACGTGTCTCCAGCCACGTATTCGTCGCATTCAGCTGCTCTTCCAACTTCAGAAGCTCTAACACGGCGTCTTCCTCTCCCTCTTCCTTTTCCTTGCTACTGCCAGCACCAGAAGCACCGGCCAGCAGCTCTGCTCCGCCAATTCCTGTCGCGGCTCCTCTCATCGGCTTGTGCCTCTTGTCTTCCTTGGTGCGAGGCATGATCCACGCCAGTCAGGTGAAATAACCAACAAACGTAGCAGCAGGATTAGACGTAGTGTGAGAGAACGAAGGACGACGCACATCAGTAGCAGATCCAACACCAGGAGCTTCCCCGAACTGCTCAGCTTTCATCTCGCCCTTATCCATGCACTGTTCTCCAAGGAAGACACGTTGATGGTTGTACCTGCACTGAGATTGGGCTTGCTCAACGGTCAAATCAGGAAAGGGCAAACTTTGCTGCCCAAGAGCAACGAAATGAACCTGCTGCTTCAAATTCGCGAACTCTTGCTCTGCCGCCTTATCATGACCTAAATGTGCTGGCGTGTCTCGCGTGGCAGGCAGAAGTATGCAGGAGGGACTGAAACAGTCGGTTGAGAGTCGAAAACAGAAGCTCGTCAGTCTGAAGAGAGGCGTCTACGTGTGCTAAATTCCGAAGCTAATGGTACCGAATGGAGAGGTTTCATTCGTGACGCATTCTGCCGACTCGCCACTGCTATTTTTACGGCCGCAACGATCCACGGTTCGTCAGACTAGATGGGATCTGAACTCTCGAAAGCCATGACGGGTGCTGCAGGATTCAAGTCAAATTGGAAGTTTCCAGTCTAGGCACAACTACTAGAAATCTGTCGGTTTCACTGGAACTGAAAGGCCAGTAACAGAGCTCTCTCGGTCGCTGACTGAAGTCGAACGAGTCTATGTGATCGCCGTGTAAGCTGAAGCTGTGAGATCAATGAAATGTTGTCATCAAGCAACGCTTTCCCACCCATGCAACGCTTTTCAATTCATGCGACGCTGTGCTACGCGTTCCGCCAATGCCCGAGGCAAGCGAGGCTCCTTCAATTGTGACCATATCAAGGGAAGAATCAAACCATCCAATCACGTTTAGTCTCGTGGGGTGTATAAGTGCTTGAGAATCCATTCTTCGCATAAGCTGCAGCCATCCCAGGGCTCTGAACACGTTGGATGTTGCCATGGAACGAGGCAAACCAATGAAAAATGTGACTGGAAAAGCGAATCGGACCGTCTGTTTCCGCACAAAACTAGTCGGGTTTGAGATAATACTCGACGTGGTGCCTGCTGATGTAACCTAGATCATCTCCTGCAGACCTAGATTGTTGTTCCGAGGCTAGCTTTGATGTTCCCATGGCGGAAACACAATTCTCTGACGAGTGAGATCTGTCCCCAGAATCCTGAACTGCAGAGTGTTGGCGAAGGTGTTGGGAAAGAAATTGCGTGGGGCGAAAGCGAAACGAAGTGGCGAGGAACTACAGCGGCCACAACACAAAAATCCTAATCCTCGTTTGTGAGTCCAACTGAAAATCGTTTGACAGCTGACGGTACGAATATGAAAAAAAAAACAATCAGCCTCCATATAAATCTCGGAAATATAATCACGGTGAGAAACGTTCAAGCGAAACACTTTCAAACATAGTAAATAAATAACTGCCAACTAGTGGGATTTGGATAGCCGATCATGGAGCACTATTAAATCCATTGCCCTTTCAAATCAAATGCTATAAACCAATATGGTACCAAAAACTTTAGCTCAGCATCTAATCTAATCATCATTTTATTACAAAATGAGCCATTCAGTCAAGGTCCGTCGAGAACCATCTGCATAGTGAAAGCGAAACAGCAGGAAGAATCGAGAAGGGAGGACAGAATGGTCGAGTGAGGAGAAGGGATATGGAGGGCACGTGGAAGGGATGAAATAATGGGTAGGATTGTGGGTGGTGCGCGGTGGGGATGCAAAGGATACAGGATAGGAAGGACATCGGATTGTTGGGCGAAAGCAATTACAAGAGAATGGAAAAGGGAGGACACTGGCAGATAGCGAAGGAAGGAAAGAGGAAAAGGGGTGGAGGAGAAGGGGGGAAGGAGTGAGCAAGAGAGGGAAGGAGGGAGAGTAAGCAGATTGTGAGTGCAGGAAGGCAGGAGTGTGTCCCTCACCCTCTGTCTCTCCTTCTCTAGCTCTCTTCCTCGGTCCCTTCCCTTCCCCCCTCGGTCTTTTCCCCACTGTGTCTCCCCGTCTGTCTCCCACCCTAAACCCTCCCATTCTTTCCCTCCCTCTGTGTCCCCCCCCCTCTCTGACCCTCCATCTCTATCCCTCCCTCTCTGTCCCTCCCTCTCTGTCCCTTCCCCTTGGGGAGAATGAGGGAGATGGCGGGTTGGAACGAGAGAGTATGAGTAGGGAAGGGGAACGGAAGGTGCGGGGGGGGGGAGGGGGGGGTGGTGGGGGGGTGGGGGGGTGGGGTGGAGGGGGGAATGTTGAGAGTATAAGGTTTCGAAAGTCGATTGGAGAGTGGTGCCACACTTCTGCCACCATCAACCATCCACACTGGAGGGGAAGGGGGGAGCTGAAGGGGGGAGGAGTGGGGACGGGTGGTTGGAGTATGAGGTGGGTGAAGAGGGAGAAAGAGCAGGATTGCGGGGAGCAGGTAATGTGGGAGGTGCGAGAGGTGCTGCCTGAAGGTGCCATGGCTATGGTGCTGCTGCTTCAGTGGGATGGTGGAGGTGTAGATGGGAGGGTGATGACGGGCAGAGGACCTGAGATGGGAAGGCACAAGGTGAATGGCAACAAGGGGAGACAGATGAAGATGGTGTGATGGGGTGGACAGCTGAGCACGGCACAATGGAGTTGTGCGAATGAGATGCTGACAGGTGGAAGGCATGCGGGGAGGATGGGGAGGATGAGCGCGGCACTGAGGGAGCTGAATCTGGTGAGTGGAGGAGTTGGAGATGAGAAGGGAGAGATGAGGGAGAAAAAGGGGATGACAGGAAGGGAGTGGTAGGAAGGATACGAGATGAGAAGGTCAGAAAAGAGAAGAATATAGGAGGGGAGGGGAAGGGGACGGAGGGGAAGGGGATGGAGGGGAAGAAAGGGAGGAAGGGGGAGCGGAAGGGGGAAGAAGAAAAAGGTCGGGGGTGGGGGTTTGAAAGGATTTGTACGAAAGCAGGAGGGTGGTCAGCTCCTTGTGCCGCCTTACCCTCTTTGAGCGCTGTCAACCCATTTCTAACCGGGCTCGGTATGGATCAGGCCAAACGAAAAGGCTGAGTTGAGCAGGATGGCCTAGGTCAATCCGCATGCGATCTGCAGGTCTGACCCTAACTTGGCGACGAACTAAACCAGATATGCAAGTTTGACACCCTAACCTGGGACGAACTGAGCTGAACATGCAGGGTTGACACCCTAAATGGGCTGCTGGATTAAGGAAGGAGAGGAGAGTTGAAATAAGAGGGGAGTAGAGGGTACGGGGAGAGGGGGGATAGAAAGCAGTTAGCAAGAATAAAAGGTGCTGGATTGCAACAAATTCTTGCAAAGTCGCGCAAAAGTCAATCTCTTCTGTGGAGACACCCCGGTCCCCCCAACCCTTCCCACTTCCAGCTCGCCCTAGCAGCCCTAAATCCCTTGCAAACGTAAAGTCACCACGACTTCCTCCACCCTCTCCCACTCCACGTCGCCCCCCTGCACATCCCACACCCTTCTCGATGCCCTCTGGTGCAACCCCAATCCCCCAACCATGCCAAATGCGGCGAGCACATACTTGAAACGTGAGTTTTACTCAACTTGACTTGGTCGAGTTGTTTTCCAAAAGAAAAAATAAACTTGTTTGTAACTTGACTCGCATGCCCATGTATAACGCGGTTGGTGTGGGGAAGGCAGTGGGGGGAATGGGGGGGGAGAGGGCGCGGGAGTAAGGGACATCGGGTAGTGGCAGAGAGATGAAGGTATCACACCCAGGAAAGCAGTGCTTAATTTCATTCTATGAGGATTTCTTTGTGGTGCTTAAAGCGATTAAGCTCCCTAAAAGCCCCAATGCCGGCCAGCCCCATTCCGCCCTGACGCAGCTGCCCCATCGTTTGAGAACCACGCTGCCCTGTCTCTGCAGCACACGCCGCTGCCGCTGCTGTCAAGGCTGCGCTGCCCCATCACCTCGCTGATGCTGTGACTGCAATCCACGCTGCTCCCCACCATGCCACCGCCGCCGCCACTGTGGGCACTGGCGGGGCGGTTCTGCCATACTACAAGCGCCGGGGGAAGCCCAGGGAGGAGGAGGCGGGTGCGGGCATAATCGTGCCCGTGAGGATGGCATCTGTGAGTGCTGCGTCAGCTGCCAGCAGCTGAGCCGTGCGCGCACCACCTCCATGCTCTTGCACCTCCCAAATCAACTGCCTCTGCTACCCGTGCTGCCTGTTCTTGTTGCTGGCCGCCGCACTCCCTCCATGCTCGGGTGCCCCTGTCTCCCTGCCCCATCAACCCTCCTCCCACCTGTCGCGCCACTGTTGTGCCTGCGTGCATGTTCGTAGTGATCAAACTCCCGCTCATGCGCCCCCCCTATGTTCCGACCCAAGCACTCCCCCCCTCTCCGTGCTCCTGCCTGGTGAGACAAATGTGAGAAACAGAGGAGACAGTGGTGCTGAGGAGCCTACAAACACGGGGTTATGGATGGCATGGCGTGGGAGGCAGTCACAGCAGTGGCTCATGCGCAAAATATACCCAAAGGAGCGGGAAAAGGCGGCTCCTGAAGCACTGTGCTGGACACACCCATGCCACCATTTGCGCCACCACTGCCGCCCGCATGCGCGTTCCCCCCTGCTGCTGTTGAATCCCCCTTCCTTCCTCTCCCGCCCCCGCTTGCTACCCCCTCCCACACTTGCTGCGTCTCACTCCTCCCTCTGCTTGCCCCGCCTTCGCCCTGCCGCTGCGCCCACCGCCCGTTTGCCCCTGGCGCTTGCGACACCCAGGCGAAGTGGTCCCAAGAAGCAGCACACGGCAGGCGCGGATGAAGGGCAAGGAAGGGGGAGGAGATGGGCTGTCACATGCAATTTTTCCCTAATGCAAGCAAAAGAGTGACCCCGGTTCAAGTGAGTGAACTCAGCTTGACGGGCCCCAGTACGACATACTTGAGTGCGACGGACCCCAGTACGACATACTCCAGTGCGACGGACCCCAGTACGACATACTTGAGTGCGACAGACCCCAGTACGACATACTCCAGTGCGACAAACGGCAGTGCGACATACTTCAGTGCGACGGACGTCACGGATCCTGCGTGCTGCCTTGTGTGGAGCGACAGTGGCATCGCCATGCCGAAGTTCTTCCAATGAGCACCGCAGAATCAAGACGGAAAGGGTGATCACTAGGCAATTGATATGTGATTGGAGTAATCGCTGTGCTTCAAAGCGACGTCGCACTGTGAAGTGCAAAACAATATAGATACAAAAAATTTACAACGCTTGAATCTAAATACAGTGTCCTCAACGAACGCATTACCGCAAGTCGACACGTGCTCAGCAGGATTCGAACCTGCGCGGGCAGAGCCCAACAGATTTCTAGTCTGTCCCGATAACCACTCCGGCATGAGCACACGTTTCTTGGAAAATAAAAGCAACTACGAAAGCGCCCACACTCCCCTCCTAACCAACAGCCCTGCCCAATCTCGCCTCATCTGCTCGTCCTTCAAGACAAAAGCGACTTGCTGGTGAACCATCCTTAGACTACGTTCCTCCCACCACCCACCTCCTTCTCCCACTGCTCGACCCTGAGAAAGGACATGACCACGAGGCAAACAGCAGCCCCACCTAGCCTTGCCTCACCCGTTATCTGTTCGTGACCCACTATTGACTCACAACTATCAAACAGCCCAGCCCACTAACCCTCACGCACTCGAAACGCACCTCCTCCTTCCTCTGCTCGTCACTCCTCAAACACCGCCACCAGGCACCCAGCAGCCCCGCCTAGCCTTGGCTCACCCATAATCTGCTCGCGACCCACATTGACTCACAAGTATCAAACAGCCCAGCTTGCTCGCACCCCCTCACTCACTCCGAATGTACCTCCTCCTTCCTCTGCTCGTCACTCCTCAAACACCACCACGAGGCACCCAGCAGCCCGGCCTCGCCCAGCTTCGCCTGCAGCCTCTCATGCACCTCCGCCACGTCAGCAGCCTCCACCGTGCTGCTGTGGGGGCGAACAGTGCGGCCACGGCATAGGGACGGGAGTCCATGGCGCAAAAGTAGGTGTGGGATAAGCAGGTGCGGATTCAGTGCTGGGGGGTGGGTGGGCGGGAGGTGTGGGGGTAGAGAAGGGGAGAGGAAAGGACGAAAAGGGCAAACAGCACAAATGGGAAGACACTGACATTGAGAGAGAGAAGGGTTGGTATTATGACACGTGGATGGGGAGAAGGGTTGGTATTATGACATGTGGATGGGGAAAAGGGTTGGTAGTATGACATGTGGATGGGGAGAAGGGTTGGTATTATGACATGTGGATGGGGAGAAGGATTACGAGAGAGATGTGGACGGCAATGTCGTAGGAGCATCGAAGTTTTCATCCACCAGATGTGGATGTGGGACACAAGTCGGTCTGGGAGAGGCAGGTGCAGAGGTGGGGGGGGACGGGTGCAGGGGAAGTGAAGAGGGCTACGGCGGTGAAGGGAAGGTGCGTTACATCCCTGTCAAGAAGTGCACTCAGCAGCCCTCAAGTTCCTCATGAGAAATGACTTTTCGACTCAAGAGTCAAGTGCACTGTCCTCAAGTTGATTATGAGAAATGAGTTAATTCTTCAGAAATCCGTGCGGAGCTAGGGGGAAGAGATGTGGGAGACAGTGCGGTAGGGGTGTGAGTCGGTGAGTCCATGTAAGGAAAGAAGGCAGGGCGCTGAGGGGTACGATAGAGAAAGAGGGATAGAGGTCAAGGGAAGGGTTTTTGAGACGTCTTAGTAGGGGCGTTAGTCAGTGAGTCCATGTAAGGAATGAAGGCGGGGCGCTGAGGGGTACGATAGAGAAAGAGGGATAGAGGTCAAGGGAAGGGTTTTTGAGACGTCTTAGTAGGGGCGTTAGTCGGTGAGTCCATGTAAGGAAAGAAGGCGGGGCGCTGAGGGGTACGATAGAGAAAGAGGGATAGAGGTCAAGGGAAGGGTGAGTAATGCACACGTGTGGTAATGGCATATGTCAAAGGTCATAAGTCGGTGTGGGATGCTCAAACGCAAGGCTGAATGGATGGGAAAAGGGATGGGAGGATGCGAATGGGGGCTGGTTAGGAAGAGGGTATCGGGATTTGGGAGGGGACGAGAGGCAAAAGGAGCGGGGGTGGGGGAAATTAATGGACGGCAATTGCAACCTGGTCTGTCCATCAGCTTCCTCCAGTAACTCTCACAGCCTTTCAGTAGCAAATCTTAGAAACAACTAGTCAACGTCCCCCCTCCCACCATCGACGGCGAGTGACTCGAGTCGAAATTGACTCGTGAGTGAGTCGAGATTGAGTCGAGTTTGACTCGTGAGTGAGTCGAGAGTGAGTCGAGAGTGAGTCGAGATTGAGTCGAGAGTGAGTCGAGATTGACTCGTCAGTGATTCCTACACTACACGCCCCTCTCCTTCGCATCTCAAGTGACTTACTCGAGAGTGGGTCGAGAGTGACTCTCACCTTGCCAATATCCAGCTTGCCAACCGCCCCTGGCCACTCAACCCTTTCCACCCATGGACAACACCCCACACATCCTCCATAATCCCCGCCCCACGCATCGTCTATAATCTCTGCCCACCCGACGCATCCACTTTGACCTCCGCTTTTCGGTCGACTCAAAAGCACACCCCACGCACCCGCTATGATCTCAGCCCACCCCAGCTGCATCCCCCACCATTCACCCCCCCTTCATTGCCCCTTCATCTGCCTGACTCTTTCCACTCGCAGTTGACCGCCTTGACCAGAGCTGACCGCCTTGACCAGAGCTGACCGCCTTGACCAGAGCTGACCGCCTTGACCAGAGCTGACCGCCTTGACCAGAGCTGACCGCCTTGACCAGAGCTGACCGCCTTGACCAGAGCTGACCGCCTTGACCAGAGCTGACCGCCTTGACCAGAGCTGACCGCCTTGACCAGAGCTGACCGCCTTGACCAGAGTTGACCGCCTTGACCAGAGCTGACCGCCTTGACCAGAGCTGACCTGCTTCACCACAGCTGACTCACTTCACCGCCACCACAGGTGCTGCTGCACACATGGCTCTGCCATGCTGCCTACTGTGTTTCGCACTAGAGACCTTCCAATCATGACAATGCAGCCATATCAACGCACTAAAGACCTTCCAACTAGGAGGGCCAATCATGACAATGCAGCCATATCAACGCACTAAAGACCTTCCAACTAGGAGGGCCAATCATGACAATGCAGCCATCCTGGTTCTGATGGTGCCCCTGACTCGCCATGCCTCCAGGGCGAAGCGGCTGCTGCAAGCAGCGCGCGCGGAGGTAGGGGGGAGGTGCAGAGAGTACAGGGGGGCAAAAATATGAGCAGGAGAGGAGGGCGATAGGAGCATGGAGGGGAAGACTGGGTGATGTGGGAGGGAGGGAGACGTGGTGCCGGATGGTGCGATGGCTATGGTGAGATGGTGGGGGAGCAAATGGGGAGGTGAAGGAGGGCAGAGGTGGAGGATGCGGGAGAGGGAGAGACAGTTGGCTCGTGCATGGGGTGATGTAGGAAGGGGCATAGCATGATGGGATGAAGGGCACGGCACGATTAGATGAATGGGGTGGCGGGGGGTGTTGGGCATGGTTGTGGGGAGGAACATATGGAATAAGGAAGGGAGGGCAGAGGGAGTCTAGGGAGATGCCAGGGAGGGAGCGGAAGAGAGGAATTGAAAGGAAAGGAAAGGAAAGGAAAAGGAAGGGACATGGGGGGACGACGAAAGACGATGAGAGCAGAGGAATGTGGCTGGTAAGAAGGAATGTGAGGGAAACGGGAGCGCGGAGAACGGAGCAGGTGTTACGTTGGAAAAAGATTGTCAAACAATGACCGGCAGGAAGGAGAATGCTCTCATTGAGAGTTGAACTCAAGACCTCCCGCTTACTAAACGGGTGCTCTAACCAACTGAGCTATGAGAGCTGTTGGACGAAGTTTCTGTGAACTCAAGTGGGGATACCAAGGCACACCGAGCTCAGTTTAAGCTGTTATAATCTCTGAGGAGTGTGCAAACCCCTCGAAGGAAGTATTAAGACAATTGTTGGGGCAATGGAAAGGGAGGAGGAAGGAGGGTTGAGAATTGGGTGGGAGAGAGGGATGTAAATGAAAGAAACTGGAGGGAAAAAGGGGTTGGCAGGAGGAGAGGGGTGTCGGGAGAGGAGGCACACATTTTCTACGGTCTCGCTCTTCTCTCCCATGCCTACCTGCCTGCTGCCTCTACCCACTCGCCACTGACTGCCTCTATCCTTCACCGCCTCGACTGCAGCTGCTGCTGCGAGCCATGGCTCTGCCATGTTGCTCGACCAACTGTTATCTTCATCTATTGGCCGGCTCTTCACAAGTCACAGGGTGCTGTTGGTGCGGGGATGGAACGGTCAGAGGGAAGGGAAGAAGGTGGGGGCTTGATTTTCAGAGAGGATGGCGGAGGTGGAAGACAGCCAGGGATGGCATTCAGGCATTGCGGAACAACAAACTAGCAGTGCAGCGATCGATGAGAGGCAATGCTAGAATGAGACGCGGGGAAGCAGTGACACAGCCATGGCTCGCTATTCTGGTGGGGAAGCACTATTTTGTGGCGAAGTTCATTCTGCCTAGTCAGCAAAATAGTGCAAAACCACAATACTGGGCGCGAGTAGGCGAAAGCACGAATTGAGACAACTGTGATCAGTAACAATATGGATGGAAGGTGAGGAATGGGGTGGGAGAGTGATTCAGATTTCTCTGGCTACTCTGCTTCTCTCACCACCGCATTGGGTCAGCTGAAAAGCAATCCACAATCTCATATCCATGCTTCGACTGCCTCAAAACAGCCCTCCCTCGCATGGGTCAGCCTCGCATGGGTCAGCCTTGCATTGGCTCTCGCGCTGCCGTTGCTCCATTATCGCGATCTAATGAAACTCACAAAACGAACTTTCCACAATACATGAACACCACAACGTGCTGATTCTTGCCCTCGCACGCCCGCAATGCCTCCGCCTCTCTTGGGCATCCTCTGCTATCACACACGCCAGCACCTGCCACCACCACCTTTCCTTCTTTTCCACCTCCCTCTGACTTACCTCCTCGTCTCTCTTGCTCCTCTTCCCCTCCTCCACCTCCCACCGCTTCCCCCTCTCCTCTTGTCCCCCTTGCCGCTTCCTGCCCAAGTGCTTACTCCTCGCATCAACCCTCGTCTCCCTATTTAGCCCCCCCTTCTAGAAGCAACTTGACAATTGCGGCTCTTTAAATCCGTATCTCTGCTCTCCTGATCTCAGGTCAGGTGCTGTTAGGGTGGGAAGCGAAAGGAAGTGGGGGAGGGAAAGCGGGAGACGGGGGAGAGGGCTGAGAGGCTGTGAGCTGAGATGCCGTCAGCTGAGAGGCCGTCAGCTGAGAGGCCGTCAGCTGAGCGGCCGTCAGCTGAGCGGCCGTCAGCTGAGCGGCCGTCAGCTGAGAGGCCGTCAGCTGGGAGCCACAAAAGGAGCTATGATGCGTGCATCCTCTCACGAAAAAAGCGGCGATAAGAGCCAGCGCTGCAAAATGGCACCCATGGGCAAGCTAGTATGCTCAGATTCACTCGGCTGCATAGCGCCAAAAACGCCATGCCGACTGCTAAAATCTGGCGCGGATAGGCGGCGATGGGCGCATTCCGACTGCTGCCACTGCTCGGTGCGTTCACCCGCGGCGAGTGCGGCGAGTGCTGAAATTCTTAATGCTGAAAAATGTCATTTTTCTTGAGTTGCGGGCGCACACGAAAACAACGGCACGCTGAGATTTGCTTCGCCATACGCTCTTCGCCGCCTTGTTCTAAGCCACACGACATGGATACATCGCACTCAAACCCTTGTAGTTATGAGTAAGTCGATGCGGAGTTTCTTAAACAGAGATCGTAACACACGCGCGATTTAATAGTCTGTTTGCTCTAAGTGCGATCAATTAGGTTGCTCAACGGAATATGCGACACGGAAAAGATGGTTGGAAGGAATGTGAAAGTGCTGAGGGCCCGTCTAGAACACGAATTGGCGAACTTTGCTAAGTTCTGGTTGTAAGGACAGTTTTGTACAGCTCTTTTGTGTCCTGAATGCTGACGAGTAGAAGGTGAAACTCGGAAAATATATATTCTTTTGTTCAATGTAACATCATGTTACCAAATATACTTCAAACCCAGCGTGGAATGAACACGTCTTTCCTTGTCAAATACTTACAACACAAGCAACAATCATATGAGTCTTTAAACGCAATGTCACGACTCAGCCTACAGCGAGAGCCCTGAGTCACAAGTTTGTGATGATCCAACGGTCGTGATCTCAAATCAGCGACCTGCAGCCAAGTTTCTAAGAATAACTACATCGCGTACTGTGAAATTTCAATTACCTCGACCTCACACTTTTTGGAATGAAGGCATAGCGGCGGAGGCATGGGCGCAAAGGAGGAGGAGGGCGGACGATTTGTTCCGCCCGCTGAGCGAGAGGTGCGCGGGGGAAGCGTGTGAGCGAGAAAGATGGAGGGAGAGGGGCCGCGAAAAATGAGCGGAAGAAAGCGAACGGGAGCAGCAGCGGGGACCAGAGCGAGCAGCCGAGCGGCGCGCGTGAGAGGTGCGGCAGGCGCGCGGGGCAAGAGCGCGAGCGCCGCTGCTGTGCTGAGTGTGCCAGCGAATGAGAAGCTTGCACACTCCCTCACCCCTTGCGTGCCCACGCCGCTCGCCTCCTCCTCACTCCCATGCGCCGCCAGTCCCGTGCGCCGCCACTCCCATGCGCCCCCACTCCCGTGCGCCGCCACTCCTATGCGCCCCCACTCCCGTGCGCCGCCACTCCCATGCGCCCCCACTCCCGTGCGCCGCCACTCCCATGCGCCCCCACTCCCGTGCGCCGCCACTCCCATGCGCCGCCACTCCCGTGCGCCGCCACTCCAGTGCGCCGTCACTCCAGTGCGCCGCCACTCCCGTGCGCCGCCACTCCAGTGCGCCGTCACTCCCATGCGCCGCCACTCCAGTGCGCCGCCACTCCAGTGCGCCGTCACTCCCGTGCTTCCTGCCCCTCAGAACAGTCCGCAGTCGTCTCCGCTCCTCGCTATCCCTTCTCCCCTCTTTTCCTGCGTCGAACCCATAACCCCTGCACTCTCCATCTCCTCTACCCCCCTTCCCAGCCTCCCTTCCCCTCCCCGACTCTCAGACGTGCTGACTGCCATCGGCTCCGCTCCTCCCGCTCCTCGCTAACCCCTCTCCCCACCCTTCCTGCATCATGCCTGTAACCGCTGCTTTCCCCTCCCTTCCTCTCCCCGAGTTTTGAGGCGCCTCAAAAGCTTTCCCCTTCCCCTCCCTGAGTCTCAGACATGCTGACTGCCATCAAGCTCCTCTCTTCCCCCCATCCCCCTCTCTCCTCCCCCCATCCCCCCCTCTCTTCCCCTCCTCCCCCCCTCTCTTCCTCTCATCTCCCTCTCCCTTCCCTCCTTCCCCCCGCCCAACCCTGTCTGTCGCGCCCCTCTGGCAGGCGTGGGTGCCCCCCTTGGCGGCGCAGCAGTGGGGGCAGACGACCACCGCTGGCATCGTTGCCGGCATGATGCTGGGGGCCAGCCGCGAGGCCGCTCGCACCCAGGTGAGGTGAGGCGAGGCGCACCCAGGTGAGGCGCACCCAGGTGAGGCGAGGCGCACCCAGGTGAGGCGCACTCCACGTGCTGATTGCACATAAGCCGCACTGCTCGTCGCACCCAGGTGAGCCGCGTGCTACCTGACACGCCTGGCCCAGGCTGGGATCTAGCAGCTAGGGCACTTCTGAAGTGGGTCGAGAGGTGGACACAGTTGGTGCTTGGGTTATTGGAGTGCAGAGCTGAGGTTAAATGCGGTTCTGTGGGGTAACAAGCAGGCGGGCTGAGTAAGGTGGGGTGGGAGTGGCAGGCATGCATGTCGGCTCATTGGGCGCCCAAAAGCGAGTTTGTGGTTGCTTGCAGGGCAACCTTTGGTCGTCACGCTTCTTTCTCTCTTTCCAACCCCCATTGTCTGATAGGGCGACAGCTGAGAGGGGCGGCAGCTGGATCGGTGCTCCTGTGGTTTTCATGTGACACTCCTTCCCTTCACTCTTCCTTCCCAATGCCCTCCAGGCCTCCTCTCCGTTTTCAATGGACCACAGTCACCATCAGCAGCACACACCACCACCCTCCACCGCAGCAGCAGCCCCCCCCGCCCACCCTAACTTCCCTCCGCACGCCTCCCCCTCGTCGCGCTACGCAGCGGCTCGCCTGGCGGCGGAGCGGCGGCTGGTGAGGGTGGTGAGGGCGTCGGTGGCGGGCGGCGGGGCACAGCTGGGCGCGCTGGCAGGCTGTTTCTGTGACTTTCATGTGACTCTGCCTCCCTTCACCTCTCCGTCCCATTCCCATTACCCTCCAGGCCTCCTCTCCGTTTTCGATGCACAACAGCCACCATCAGCAGCAAACAGCAGCACCCCCCTCCACCACAGCCGCCCCATCTCACTCCTCCCACTCGGCGCGCTATGCTACAGCTCGCCTGGCAGCGGAGCGGCGGCTGGTGAGGGTGGTGAGGGCGTCGGTGGCGGGCGGCGCACAGCTGGGCGCGCTGGCAGGCGTCTTCTCCGCCTCGCAGCTGGGCCTCCGCGCACTCATGCTGGAGTGGAGAGAAGAGGGCGTGGCACAGAGGAGGCGCACACAGGAGGGCGGTGGCAGCAGTAGCAGTAGCAGTAGCAGTGGCAGAAGTGGGGAAGAGGGGGTTGGGGGCAGCAGCAGGGGGTGGCAGGGGGAGGAATTGTGTGAGCCTGACGTGGCCAGCTCTGTTGGCGCTGGTGCCGTGACAGCTGGGCTTGTGGGATTGGTTGGTGAGTCAATGAAGATAGTTCTCCCTGCCTTGTTGCTTCACACCCCCCCACCCCCACTCCCATCACATCCCCACCCACACTCACTGACATTGTCAGCCTCACTATATCTCACTAGATCTCACTATATCTCACTATATCTCACCATCCTTTATAAGGGCTTGGCTTGGATCGGGATGACGTGTAAAGCATGGGAGCCGAAGCGTCAGCAGTGGATGCGAGAAAGGCTGGTAGAGTGAAGGGAGGTGGCAGCAACCTTGGATCAGTAAAGGGTTGAATCAGTCCTTCCGTGGCGTCGGCAGTGGTGCGTGGGAGCAGAGGAGGGTGAGTGGCAGTGGTGCGTGGGAGCAGAGGAGGGTGAGTGGCAGTGGTGCGTGGGAGCAGAGGAGGGTGAGTGGCAGTGGTGCGTGGGAGCAGAGGAGGGTGAGTGGCAGTGGTGCGTGGGAGCAGAGGAGGGTGAGTGGCAGTGGTGCGTGGGAGCAGAGGAGGGTGAGTGGCAGTGGTGCGTGGGAGCAGAGGAGGGTGAGTGGCAGTGGTGCGTGGGAGCAGAGGAGGGTGAGTGGCAGTGGTGCGTGGGAGCAGAGGAGGGTGAGTGGCAGTGGTGCGTGGGAGCAGAGGAGGGTGAGCGGCAGTGGTGCGTGGGAGCAGAGGAGGGTGAGCGGCAGTGGTGCGTGGGAGCAGAGGAGGGTGAGCGGCAGTGGTGCGTGGGAGCAGAGGAGGGTGAGTGGCAGTGGTGCGTGGGAGCAGAGGAGGGTGAGCGGCAGTGGTGCGTGGGAGCAGAGGAGGGTGAGCGGCAGTGGTGCGTGGGAGCAGAGGAGGGTGAGTGGCAGTGGTGCGTGGGAGCAGAGGAGGGTGAGCGGCAGTGGTGCGTACGAATGTGATACGATTCTCTACCTGAGGGTATTTTCCAACTTAGCTATGGAGGCCATCAGCAGAGCAGGTGTGGCTGAAGTGGTGGGTGTGGCCATTACCACATGGATGGTACCATCCATGTTCTGCCACCACGTGGGTGTGGAGGCCATCAGCACAGCAGGTGTGGCTGAAGTGGTGGGTTGTACCATCCATGTGGTGCCACCACGTGGGTGCGGGTAGACAAGCCAGCAGCTGTTGGCAGTGCTGGATCCATTTCTCTGCGGTCCGGCACTGCCAACAGCTGCTGGCTCAGGTGGCTCCAGGCATGAGTCTGTCTGGGTTGGAGGCAGCGCTTGAGTGGTGGGGAGAGGCGAGATTGTCAGCAGGTAGCAGAGAGGAGGACTGTGTTGTTGGGATGGGAGCAAAGGTGGCAGACGTGAGGAATGAGGTATGGCGTGCAGCGAGGGTGGCGGGCTGGCACCGGGGTGCAACGGCGTGTGAATGAAACGAGGCCGAAGGAAAACTCAGATGGTTGTGAGTCGTGAACACAGAGGATTGAAGAAGAGTGGACGAATTTAAATCACAAGGAGATGAATCTTTCTGTCTGTCATAATGTGAGGAAGATGTTATAAGGAGAGGAACGGGAGGCAGCAAGAAGTGGGTTGGATCAGTCCGACCTCGAAGGCGGCCACAGGAGTCCCACCAAATTGACTTTTGAGTTGACTCAAAAGTCAGACCGACCTAGAAGGGAGTCACAGGAGTCCCACCAACCAACATGCTGCTGTGATCTTGCTCAAATGACGTTGGAACACACTTGCACCAACTTTGCACTTTAAATTGCACGATCTCCACACTTGCTGGCTCCTGCTGGCTTTCTCTTCCTACCGCCGCTCACTTATCTTGTACTGCTGTACTTCGTAATGTGAAGCTTTCCTCAATTCCCACCACCCTCACCTCCCATCACATCCTCCCTGCCTCTCCCCCCCAGCCACCCGTGCCTCGCCGGCCCATCGCCTCAAGGCGGGTGCTCTCCACACCGTGGCCGGTGCTGCCCTCGCATTCCCCCTGGGTGAGTCGCACCTCTTGAGGTGGTTTCTTAGGCGCCTCAACAGCATTGAGGTAATTTTTGAGGTGGTTTTTGAGGCGCATCAAAAAGCCGCCTCGCCGGCCCATCGCCTCAAGGCGGCAGCTCTGCACACCGTGGCTGGTGCCACACCATGGCTGGTGCTGCCCTTGCCCTCCCACTGGGTGAGCGGCACACACCACTTGAGGTGGTATTTGAGGCGCCTCAACAGCATTGCGATGGTATTTAAGGCGCCTCGAAAACCTCCTCATGTGCCATCGCCTCAAGGGGGCTGCCCTCCCACTGGGCGAGCCGCACCACTCGCACTCACTAGGGGCGTTCTGCCATGCCGCCATGCCCACTCGCACTCACTAGGGGCGTTCCGCCGTGCTGCCATGCCCACTCGCACTCACTAGGGGCGTTCTGCCATGCCGCCATGCCCACTCGCACTCACTAGGGGCGTTCTGCCATGCCGCCATGCCCACTCGCACTCACTAGGGGCGTTCCGCCGTGCTGCCATGCCAACTCGCACTCATTAGGGGCGTTCCGCCTTGCTGCCATGCCCACTCGCACTCACTAGGGGCGTTCCGCCGTGCTGCCATGCCCACTCGCACTCACTAGGGGCGTTCCGCCGTGCTGCCATGCCAACTCGCACTCACTAGGGGCGTTCTGCCATGCCGCCATGCCCACTCGCACTCACTAGGGGCGTTCTGCCATGCCGCCATGCCCACTCGCACTCACTAGGGGCGTTCCGCCGTGCTGCCATGCCCACTCGCACTCACTAGGGGCGTTCCGCCGTGCTGCCATGCCAACTCGCACTCATTAGGGGCGTTCCGCCTTGCTGCCATGCCCACTCGCACTCACTGGGGCTCTATGCTGCTCCCTCTCTGTGCTGCTCCCTCTCTGTGCTGCTCCCTCTCTGTGCTGCTCCCTCTCTGTGCTGCTCCCTCTCTGTGCATGCCACCTGTTGCCACCCTCCGTCAAGCCTTGTGCACTGCCTTTGCCTGAGCCACACCAGTGCAGCTTTTTCTCGACCCGATTTATACACCAGCTTGTACCTTGCCAAAGCTGCTGTCACATGCCAAAGCTGCTGTCACATGCCAAAGCTGCTGTCACATGCCAAAGCTGCTGTCACATGCCAAAGCTGCTGTCACATGCCAAAGCTGCTCCCATGTGCCAAACCTGCTCTCACATGCCAAACCTGCTCTTACATGCCAAACCTGCTCTCACATGCCAGACCTGCCCTCACATGCCAAACCTGCTCTCACATGCCAAACCTGCTCTCACATGCCAAACCTGCTCTCACATGCCAAACCTGCTCTCACATGCCAAACCTGCTCTCACATGCCAAACCTGCTCTCACATGCCAAACCTGCTCTCACATGCCAAACCTGCTCTCACATGCCAAACCTGCTCTCACATGCCAAACCTGCTCTAGCGTGTGCTCGCTCTCGCCTGCTCTCACTTGTCTGTGTGCAATTCACATGCTCGCTCTTGCTTCGCTGCAATGCAATTGTCCTTTTTCTTCTTGTCTCCCCTTCCCGTCACCTCCCACTCCCCAACCCACTCCCTCTAACCCCTCTCTCTCTCTCTGTGCCCCACCGGCAGCCCTCCTGCACTCAGCGCTCTACTCCTTGCTGCCCCAGCACCACAGCACAGCAGCACAGCACACGACTTCTGAGACATCTCAACAACCCACTCCCCCTGCCCCCTCTCTCTCTCTCTGTGCCCCGCCTGCAGCCCTCCTGCACTCAGCGCTCTACTCCTTGCTGCCCCAGCAGCACAGCACAGCAGCAGCACACGGCAGCAGTGGAGAGGGAGAGGGCGCTCAGGGGATTCCTCAGGAGAGATCTCAGGTGGACTCTCAGGTGGGCAGTGGCAGTAGCAGCAGTCCTCTCAGTGGCGGCGGCAGCGGCGGCGGTGTGGCGGGAGCCATTGAGCGCATGGAGGAACGATTCATGGGGTCTTTTGGGCACCTGGGGGGCAACCACGGAGGAGGGCGAGGAGGCGGGGTTGTGGGTAGAGAGGGTGTGGGCGGAGGAGAGGCGAGAGGGGAAGCTTCGGAGGGTGAGGCGGGAGGGCAGGAGTCATGCACGGTAGTGGCAGGGGAGAGCATGGGGAGCAGATGAGGGCACGGGGAGCAGTGGGGAGCAGTGGTGATCAGCAAATCTAATTACAAGTCTGAATGGTGTTTGAAGTCATGTGCAGCAGCAGCAGCAGCAGCAGCAGCAGCGGTGGCGTGGCGGGTGCCATTGAGCGAATGGAAGAGCGATTCATGGGGTCGTTTGGTCAGATTGGGAGCAACCGCGGAGGAGGGAAGGAAGGCAAAGGGGGGGTGCCCAGGGAGGGTGAGAAGGACGGAGATGGAGAGATGAGACAGGAAAATCTAGACGGGGTGACAGGTGAAGCGGCAGAATCTACTCGAGGAAGAAGCGGCCGGCAGGTGATGTGTAGGGAGCAGCGGCGAGGGATGGAAACGAGTATACAGGTTTGAATAAATATGATTATGTGTTTTTAGATTATTGTATTCCACCAGGTATAGGCCCCTCCATTTTGGAGAAACAATGCAGTGTTACCTTTTTTGCTATCATGCAAAACATACCTGGACGGAAACAAGCCCTGGCTAGCCAATTTGTGGCCGAAGTGATCAATCATGCGATCCTATGATGACCTTTCTGAAAATTGCACATCAAACACTTTCTTAAAAGTGTATATCCATTTTGCAGATGCTACGGAGGCTGCTATTCTGGGATGGGTACCATATTCTAATGTTCATAGATCACTGATCTTCATACATCCAGTATTTTTTTTATGATACCCGATTTATCAATTTAGTATCACATCAGCGATGGATATTTTCTTTTCCCACTTTCAATGCCAACAAACAAACCTCTTCCTCGCCACATAATGGCAGGTTGCTTTCACCACATAATACGTCATAAGGTATTAGCCAATACTCAGTTCGCCAACGATTCGCTTTAGCGAGGTGGCAATTATCCTCGTTGCCCGAGACAACTGGTGCTCCTGAACTGCTGTTGCTGCACGCCTGCGTCTCCCAACATAATCGTTCTGCAATCCTAGGTTCTGCAAATCGTCCTGTGCAAATTCGTCCTGCTTGCTAGCCCAGAGAGCGGCGCAGAACCGACCAGGGGCCACATGAGTGGGGCTGTCAGCTGAACGTTCGACTTGCTGCTGTGATTACCTCCTCCCTAGTGCACGCACCACGTAACTATGCACCCCTCACCCGTTTGGAGCGCGTAGCTGGGGAGCTCGACTGATGAGGGCCGCAGTGGTCGCGCGCAGCACGGCCCATGTCGTTCCTGTCACGGAAGTCGCGCCCATCACTCCCAGCCTTTACCGCGCTCAATCGCCGCGTCGAGGGTGTAGCGCGGTTGTTCGTTTCTCCCGCGCAACAGCGAGCCGCCGTTGTCACTCCCACGGAACTCGCACCGATCACTCTCTCTCATCCTCACCCGCGTTCAATCGCCGTGTCGAGGGTGTAGCGCGGTTGTTCGTTTCTCCCACACTACAGCGACTTTTGAGGTATGCTCTCCCTTGTATTGTGTTGTGCCTCAAAAACCCAGCACCACCTTGTCTGACGTGCGCAGCGCCGCAACGCGCTTGTTCCGCAACTAGGCGAGTTGGCGCAACCTAGTCTTCGCCTTGCTGAGATTCTTCCCCGTAACCGCAGATCCGAACGCCGTTGAAGGGAGCGTGCCCGAATCAAGCGATGCGGGGTGCCTCGTCTCGCACTCGTCGCCGCCTTTTCGCCTCGCTCACCCTCTTCGTGCCGATTATTCTCGTGCTCGCCACGTGTTCGCGCCTTTCCCTGCCACGTGTACACTTCTCGCTGCGCCTGGAATGGGCCAAAGGCCGCCCGTATCACGACGTTAGCACCAGCCCCCCTGGGAGCGACCTTGCGGTGCCAGGCGCGAGTCAACGGAGTCAACGGAGGGCCCTCGCTGTGAATCCGTCCGCCGCACCGCCGCCGCCGCCGCCGCCTCCCGTGTGCGAATGTCCCGCGTGCCCTGCCGGCGACAGTGGCCGCAGTGTTAGTGGGCCGGGCGGCGATGCGAGAAGCGGCGGTGGAGAGGGGACCGGTGCTGGAGGGGGAGGCGATGGTGGAGCGGAGGGGGGAGGCGAGGCAGCGTGGGGCGTTCCGAGTGCACCCGACGAGCATCAGCTTGTTTGCTGTCGTCAGCACTTACCGCACTGGCCAGGACAGGTGAGGCAAGGCACACAACAGGTGGACGACAGGTGAGGCAAGGCACACAACAGGTGGACGTAGGGATGAGCAAGGTGGCGAACACCTGTTCGGTTCGCCTCGAACAACAGGTTTTGTTTTTCAGCTTAAATCGTTCGCCCGAACGTGTTCGAGGTTCGCCCGAACACGTTCGTGTTCGTGGCGCTGCTGCAGAACGCCCCGTGGCGAACACGAACGTGTTCGAGGTTCGCCCGAACACTCCTCCACAGACGAACAGCGAACACCTGTTTTTGCCTAAACTGTTCGCCGAACCGAACACTTTTCGGTTCGGCAAAAGAGGGTGTTCGAGAAGGGGAGAACACGAACATGTTCGTGTTCGCCCTTTGCTCATCCCTAGGTGGACGGCAGGTGAGGCAAGGCGCTGCTGTGTGTGGGACGACAGGTGAAGCGCGCTGAGCCGAGCCGGAAGGTACCAAAAGCTCGTCGCCTTGCGTGGCGCCATGCAGACGAGTCGAGCATATCTTTTTTTTTCTTAGAGTAGTTCTCAGAAAAACGAATTTAGCCATGCAGACGAGTCAAGCATCTCTCAAGCACCCTTCAACCCTCCGCGCTCGCACGGCGCGTCGCGCCGTCTGTACGCCACTTCAAAGTTCCTCACCGCTCTCCTCCCTGACCACCTTCACCATCTCCTCAGCTATCCCACTAAGAGCCACAAATTTCCATTCAACCCATGTTACCCATTAGTTCTGGATTACCGAACGTTCCAAGGTGCCCTCCCTCCCACCCTCCCACCCCATCCCATCCATATTCCTGTCAAGCGTTCCACGTTCCTCTCAATGCCCTCCCATCCCATCCGGGCAGCTTCATGGTGGTGGGGTGGGTGAGTCGCCTCGCCGCTGGGCGGTCAGGTGCACTTCGAGCCATTCAAACCATCTTCACCGTTACTTGGATAATCAAAGCCTCCACGTTCCTCGCCCTCCCCTCCCTCCCATGCGTGCTGTTGCTGGGCAGCTTCATGGTGGTGGGGTGGGTGAGTCGCTGCTGGGCGCTCAGGTGCACTTCATACCAATCTGACCCGTTACGTTGAATAACCAAATGTTTTGTTCCATGTTGGCCTCCCTCCCCTCCCCTGCCTGCCTGCCTCAGCTTCATGGCGGTGGGAGAGAGTCGCTGCTGGGCGCTCATCTGCACTTTGCGGGCGCACTGGTGGACGAGTGCGTGTGGTAGGGCGAGGGGGAGGGGGACGGGGGAGGGAAGGAGCCCACGGTCGTTACTCCAGCACAGACCTTGCATGTGAGTGGCACGCGCGTGGCATGACCAAGCATGTGAGTGGCATGTGAGTCGCTGCTGGGCGCTCAGCTGCACTTTGCTGGTTCACTGGTGGACGAGGGCGTATGGCAGGGGTGGGGGAGGAGGGGGGGGGGGGGAGAGCAAGGGGGAAGAAGGGACCTCCAGTTGTTGCTCCTGCAGAGACCTTGCATGTTAAGTGCCAGGGGCATGCATGTGAGTAACACAGGATGTGGTTGGCATGGCACGTGAGTCGCTACTGGGCGCACAACTGCACTTGGCTGGCGCACTGGTGGACGAGTGTTTGTGGCAGGGCGAGGGGAAGGGGCAAGGGGGAGACATGGGACCTTTTAGACCTTGTATGTGAGTGGCATGGGTGGCCAAGACAAGGAGGGAGGGTGATAAGTGTGTGTCGCAGACAAAAATGTTTGTTTCTAGCAGAAAATCAGCAGACTGATTCAAGAGGTGCGACAGACCTGGTAGCAGAAGGGGTGATTTGCAACATTCACGGCTAGTGGAGTGGTGTTTCTTTTGGACCATGCGACTTTTGAGTCGACTCAAAAGTCACCTCAATATTCACGGCTAGTGGAGTGGTGTTTCTTTTGGACCATGCGACTTTTGAGTCGACTCAAAAGTCACCTCAATATTCACGGCTAGTGGAGTGGTGTTTCTTTTGGACCATGCGACTTTTGAATCGACTCAAAAGTCACCTCAATATTCACGGCTAGTGGAGTGGTGTTTCTTTTGGACCATGCGACTTTTGAGTTGACTCAAAAGTCACCTCAATATTCACGGCTAGTGGAGTGGTGTTTCTTTTGGACCATGCGACTTTTGAGTCGACTCAAAAGTCACCTCAATATTCACGGCTAGTGGAGTGGTGTTTCTTTTGGACCATGCGACTTTTGAGTCGACTCAAAAGTCACCTCAATATTCACGGCTAGTGGAGTGGTGTTTCTTTTGGACCATGCGACTTTTGAGTCGACTCAAAAGTCACCTCAATATTCACGGCTAGTGGAGTGGTGTTTCTTTTGGACCATGCATAGAAACAGCCTGCCTCCAAAAAACAGCCTGCCGTGAAGAAAAATCAGAGGAAGGCTGGTGTTTGGTTCATTGGCCCTTTTTGTTTGTTGGATCGTTGTGTGGGTTGTTTTACGATAACGGTTTGCAGGTGAATAATTCGGCACTTGGCAGTTCAATTGAATACTCAACATCTCCCATGAATGGCTCATGCACAATTGGGGAAGGTAGACCTCATCTTATGCGTTCAAAAGGAAACCACCTGTTGTGTTGGATGGCATCACTGATGGTGAGTGCAATTCAATTTAGACATGGGCAACAGGTCGGGCCGGGTCGACCCGTACCCGTTTTGGATGACCTGTGACGGGTACGGGTACAGGTCGGGTCGACCCGCGGGTCGCTATCCTGGCTATTCTAGTGACCCGTCCCGTCTATACATGCATGGGTCGATTGTGACCCGTGGCGGGTCGGGTCAACCCGTAAACGGGACGGGTATCAGTGACCCATTTAGGCCTTAGGGTTTTTTTCGAGCATACATGGTTTTTTTTCTGATGTGTACATGCAAAATATAGTGTTGAACTGAAATTTTGCATGGATGATTAAGTATGCATAACTTTCGTTGGCTTTCAGTTAAGTTTCTTCGTCAAGGAATCTGCAGTAGTTGTAAGGCTTAGGTCTAAGACAAGATCTGGTTAGTCGCAACCAGATCTGAAGTTGGAGGTTCGAAATGTCGACCCGCAATGACCTAAAACTTGGAATGACATTTGCGGGTCCCGTTCCACCCGCAAACGGGTCGGGTCCCGCAAATGTCATTCCAAGTTTTTCCGTCGGGTCCCAACCCGTTTTTCCTAGTAACGACCCGTATATGGAACAGGTCGTTCTCCCCCTACGGGTCGCACGGGTCGGCCCGTCCCGTTCGGATGGGGTTAAAACGGGTCACGGGTTGACCCGATTCGTCCCGGACAGGTCGACCCGTACCCGCGGGTCGGCATGTCTTGGCAATCCGACCCGTCGGGTATTATGCCCATGTCTAACCTGAGCTCTGCTTCCCCATGCGTCTCATTCCAGTGCTACCTCTCATCTCTGCACTGCTGGTTTGTTGTCCTGCAATGTCATCATCGGCTGTCTTCCACCTCCGCCCTTTGAAGCGCCTCAAAACTCTAGTTTTTTTGGAAGGCGCCTGAAAACTAGTTTGCTATCATGGAATGCCATCATCGGCTCTCTTCCATCCCCGCCTTAAGAGGTGCCTCAAAAGTCGCCTCGAAACTTTTTTTTTGGGGGGGAGGCGCCTCGAAACAAATTTGCTGTCCTGCAATGCCATCATCGGCTGTCTTCCACCTCCGCCCTTCTCTAAGCAGTAAGCCCCGCCCCGGACCTTCTTCCTTCCCCTCTGACCTTTCCCTTTCCACACCAACAGCACCCTGCTTGGTATTGTGCATGCAGAACCAGCAGCACCCTGCTCGGTCTAAAACATACAGCAGGACAGCATGGTAGAGCCATGGCTTGTGGCAGCAGCTGCAGTTGAGGCGGTGAAGGATAGAGGCAGTCAGGCAAGTTGGCACGGGATGGGAGAGAAGAGCGAGGCCGTATCTTCCATTTACATCCCTCTCTCCCACCCAACTCCCACCCTCGGCCCCCCCACCTTCCTTCCTTCCATGGCACTGTTGCATATTAGATCAGTTATCGCAACCCCATGCACACTACCACTCCTCTTACAAAAATTAAGGAAATCAGCTCTCATAGCTCAGTTGGTTAGAGCACCCGTTTAGTAAGCGGGAGGTCTTGAGTTCAACTCTCAATGAGAGCAATGCACATGACATGTCTCTCCCCTTTCCCCTCTGCCTCCTTTACGCCATTATCTTCCCCTTTGCTTCCTAACCATTGCACCATACCCATCGCACCATCAGGCCCCACTTCGCCCTCCCTCCCACATCACCCAATCTTTTCCTCCAAGGGTCTCTACCCCTCACGCATCCCCCTCCTCCTGCCCGCCTTTACCTTCCCCTTTGCTCCCCCACCATCTCACCGTACCCATCACACCCTCAGGCACCACGTCTCCCTCCCTCCCACATCACCCATCTTCCCCTCCATGCCCCTATCGCCCTCCGCTGCTGCTCATATATATATGTCTCCCTGCTCCCTCTCCTCCTCCCCCCTACCTCCCAGCGACTGCTACCAGCAGCCGCTTCGCCCTGGTGGCATGGCGTGGAGGTACGGCGAGCCAGGGGAGGTGATGCTTGGGGCATGGCAGAACCACGATGCTACCAGCAGCTGCCTCGCCCTGGTGGCATGGCGTGGAGGTACGGCGAGCCAGGGGCACCGTCACAACCAGGATTGCCGCATTGGTCATGATTGGCTCTCCAAGTTGGAATGTCTTTAATGCGAAACGCGGTAGGCAGCATCGCAGAGCCATGCATGCCGCAGAAACAGTGGTGGCGGGTTGAAGCCGGTCAACTGTGGTGAAGCCAGTCAACGGTGGCATGGCGTGGAGGTACGGCGAGCCAGGGGCACCGTCACAACCAGGATTGCCGCATTGGTCATGATTGGCTCTCCAAGTTGGAATGTCTTTAATGCGAAACGCGGTAGGCAGCATCGCAGAGCCATGCATGCCGCAGAAACAGTGGTGGCGGGTTGAAGCCGGTCAACTGTGGTGAAGCCAGTCAACTATGGTGAAGCCGGTCAACTGTGGTGAAGCCGGTCAACTGTGGTGAAGCCAGTCAACTGTGGTGAAGCCGGTCAACTGAGGTGAAGCCAGTCAACTGTGGTGAAGCCAGTCAACTGTGGTGAAGCCAGTCAACTGTGGTGAAGCCGGTCAACTGTGGTGAAGCCAGTCAACTGTGGTGAAGCCAGTCAACTTTGGTGAAGCCGGTCAACTGTGGTGAAGCCAGTCAACTGTGGTGAAGCCAGTCAACTGTGGTGAAGCCAGTCAACTGTGGTGAAGCCGGTCAACTGTGGTGAAGCCGGTCAACTTTGGTGCAGCCAGTCAACTGTGGTGAAGCCAGTCAACTGTGGTGAAGCCAGTCAACTGTGGTGAAGCCGGTCAGCTGCGGTGAAGCCAGTCAACTGTGGTGAAGCCGGTCAACTGTGGTGAAGCCAGTCAACTGTGGTGAAGCCGGTCAACTGTGGTGAAGCCAGTCAGCTGCGGTGAAGCCGGTCAACTGTGGTGAAGCCAGTCAACTGTGGTGAAGCCGGTCAACTGTGGTGAAGCCGGTCAGCTCTGGTGAAGCCAGTCAGCTGCAACTTGCCAGTGGAAAGAGTCTGGCAGGTGAATGTGCCAATGAAGGGGGGGTGATTGGTGGGGGATGCAGCTGGGGTGGGCGGAGATCGTAAAGGATGTGTGGGGTGTTAATCGATGGGTGGAAAGGGTTGAGGGACCGGGGAGGTAGGCAGGCTGGATATCGGCAAGGTGAGAGTCAGTGCAGGGCGAAGGAGATGCGTGTAGTGTAGGAGCCACTCTCGAGTCACTCACTCTCAAGTCACTCACTCTCGAGTCACTCACTCTCGAGTCACTCACTCTCAAGTCACTCACTCCCGAGTCACTCACTCTTAAGTCACTCACTCTCAAGTCACTCACTCTCAAGTCACTCACTCTCAAGTCACTCACTCTCAAGTCACTCACTCTCAAGTCACTCACTCTCGAGTCACTCACTCTCGAGTCACTCACTCTCGAGTCACTCACTCTCAAGTCACTCACTCTCGAGTCACTCACTCTCAAGTCACTCACTCCCGAGTCACTCACTCTCAAGTCACTCACTCTCAAGTCACTCAGTCTCGAGTCACTCACTCTCAACTCACTCACTCTCAACTCACTCTCAACTCACTCACTCTCAAGTCACTCACTCTCAACTCACTCACTCTCAAGTCACTCACTCTCAACTCACTCACTCTCAAGTCACTCACTCAACTCACTCACTCTCAAGTCA